CCTGTTCCTATCTTCTATCAATTCTGTCGCATAACTCCTGGTCACATCGCATAATTTTAATACAAATTTTGCATTCAATTAAAATCCCTTCCGTACATCACGAAAGAACTGAATTGATGGGAGAAGTATGTGATGCTAGAACGTACAACTGATGTGGACTGCACGAGCAGGAATAGTGCAATGCAAACGATTCGTTCATCGTCAGTAAATGAATGTACAACAGTGTTTCCCTCCTCACTTAGAGTCCTTCATCGGAATAAAAATGTTAGCTCTCTTAAGTCTCACAGTTACTTATAAACATCTTCCCATCAAGCAATGATGATCGACACGACTAATTTGTAATGTGAGTATGCACTTCAATAAAATGGAAGCAACAAAGCGAAAGTTCATGCAAATCATTTAATGCAACAACCAGAACGCAACAAATAACGCATCTCACAACAAACTTAAAATGTATTAACAATATTTATTTTTATGAATGAAATAGACCACAACAATAACGTAGCGATGACAACGTTGCATCGATTCAGAATCGGATGAATCCTCTACTCTCATTGCGCTTCTTGAAGAGATTTCAATCGTAACAAATAATTTTTCTTGTTCCTGATACGATTCTTACGAACCTCGAGTGTGGCCTTCTTGGCAGTCCATCTCTTCTTCTCCACCTTCAAATTTATTGAAATAAATCATTATTACAAACGCTCAAATTCGCAACAGCTACTATTAATTTTGACTCAGGTTTTGCATCCGATTGACGACTTGCGAATAAATGGATACTTTAATCTTAACCCAACGAAGTGAAAAGGAAATATTCCAACAGTTAAAATTTATACGGAAAATGCACGAAACNAAGTATTTTCTACCGCAGAGTACTCATCAGCTGTGATCAAAAGCGTCAGACGAACATCAAGACTATATAAAATCACCAGTTGTACAACTGCTGCGGTAAAATGTCAGATGCTTGAGATAAAAGGTAAACGACACCTCTCTGATGGATAATTTCTACGCGCTCAAATTTTGCATTTTTAAAACGTAATATTCGAAACGTTTTGGTTGAACGCTCTCAAAGCGATGCTCAAACAAAGTGGATAACTTTCAAAGACAGCTGCAAAATCTGATTGCAACAAATTTCAAACTCAACAGATTAATGATGAGAATATAAACCCATTACAACTAACCTTCTTCGCCGTTTTGGCGACTGCCAGAGGATTGGCTCGGATTGCAGCGTGCGCCTTCTTATACATGCCTTCGATCTGAAGTAAGCATTCATCGTCAATATTCAAGCATTCACGTTCAATCAGATCCGGATAATAATAATTAAATGAGAAATACACTTACTGTCAGTGTGATAAACGATAACTCAAGCAATAACTAGCATTTTTCTACACTCACTTTACCTTCAACATACATAGAATTTACTGCATCTGTACAAGAGATGACGATCTGATGAGACTCTCGATATAGAGGAATGTGGAGTACAATCAAT